TATATATATATATATATATATTAAAAACTAACAGATAAAACATTATAAATGTAAGAAAAAACAAATATCACGTTAAAAACTTGCACATAAACCATGTTTTGCCATAGGTTTAACATGGCATGAGACACAAATCTTGAGGCATGACACGTCATGGTGATTGTTACATCTTTTAATTAAGTAAATGACAATTTTGCTTTTAATAACCAACCAAAAGGTTTTTGACTTAGCGGTATGTGAGTCTTTGGACTCTTAGAAAGTCAAAGATTCAAACTTCATCAAAGATGAAGAAGGTGAGTCTGTTTATTTGTTCTAATTTTCGTATATAAATATTATATATTTAAAAAAATATAGATACGTATTTTAAGACATACATAATCAATAAATATAAAACCGTTTAAGAAAAAAAAAGTAAAAGTAGACGAAAACATTGACCATGAAGCTTTGTTGATTGTGGTGTGGAAACGCAGCGGCATAAAACCCATTTTGTTTGGGCCGCCAAATAATTAAAAGAAGATTAAGGATTAATTAATGAATGAATAACCTTAAATTAAACCCATATTAAAAGGTCCAAAAGTAACTAATTAACGACTGATTGTGCTGACGTGGAAATAAGGGACATGACGTCATAGTATACGATGATTAAAAGTCAAAGGAATTATTTTGCATCTTGGGAGTACCATAAAAGCCCTTCTTAATTTGGGTGTCCAATCCAATGTGACAAAACACCAAAAAACCCATATTTCAATAATTAATTATACCTGATGATGCTTAATTACCTCATAATTAATAACTATTAATGATTGCATTAAACAAGCGTTGACTTTTCAACAGTTTCCAAAATTAGTATATTTATTTAGCAAATTTTAATGATTTGTGTACTTGTATTTCTTTTATAAAAAAAGTACGAGGAAATTACGTAAATCATCCCTGGGTTTGTCGAGAATCTGTATATCGTTCATAAGTTTTGGTAATTAGAAAGGGTATTATTGTGGTTTGAATTTGGCTGTTGTTTTCGTCTGTTGTCGTTAGGTCTGTTGAGTGTCTTTATGTGCTTGTTATGTGAAATGAGCTTTTTTTTTTTGTCATTTTGATTGAAAAAGATAGTGTACATGTCTTTAAATCATATGTATACGTTGTTTAAAGTGTTTGAAAAAGGAAGGGGAAAAACATTGAACATACCCTCCCTCCCACATCGGCCCCTGACGTGACTTCTTCCATCTTCATCCCATCTTTCCATCCTTGGCGTCGACAGCTGTAACTCGTACCCCTAATGTCGGTGGACGACATCACAAGATTCATCCTCCAATCCTCTTGACTTCTTTCCACCCATGATAACCCCTCCATTTCCATCCCAACTGAAAACCCATTTCCCGAAGGAGATAGATGATTACAATAGAAGAGAAATGAGAGATCAACGACGGAGAAAAAGGTGGCAGTCCTTTGTGGTGCTAGGCTAAGGTGCAAAGGGACTCTCCTATCTCTTAAAGCTACAACAAAGTCTTAGCTTCAGGGGATACGGGAAAAGACTAGAAGAAATTGGATTCGAACCTATGCATGCTAATATCAACCACAAAGCCCACTTTATCCTTGTGAGGTGAGGATAGAGACGACATGAGGAGGGCACAATGGTGAAGGGGTGTCAAAGAATGAGGGACGTCGATGATGGGGGAGGGGTGTTTGTTTTTTTAAAACCGTTTTAGAACATTTGTACATGTGCTTTGCAAACGTGTACACTAAAAACTACAAAAGAATATGCAAAATTACCGATTTTGCCTTCACTGACTTGCATGTGGAGCACTTCACGGAAAAAGATCAAGAGCCCTGACAGCCACATGTTTTTCAAAACTAAATACAAACCACAATGATGGTCCTCGTAATTTTCAAAATTTTGGGACGATATCCAGAGTTTCCACAAAATACAGGGACGATAATTGCACAAAGATAAGCAAATGGCACTGTTGACAATTGTTTAGTACAAAGATAGGGTGTATAAGTTTTCTGGCACAATATTGTCAACTTTCTTTTTTATCATATCGGCTTAATAAAATTTAGAAAAATTAACATATATTTTTGATTTTCACATCACTGGAACTGTTGGAAAGATCTTGACGCTTGCATACTTACCGAGGACGAACCTTGAGCTTCAAAAAAGACGATTGTTGATGGAAAACGAGGGTTGTGAGATTTGTTCTTGACCTTTGTTTCATTTTAGCAAAAGGAATAACTTAAATCATAACAGGGACATGATGGTAAGTGACGAAGTCGAAAATGAATGTGCACGTGGAGGCGATGGGCATTGTCGAAGGTGGTGACGAAGATATGTGTGGGCTTAAATCGTTTTTGATCTTTTCTATTTCGGTGTTGTTTTTAATTGAAATCCGTTCAGAACTTTGTTTCAAAAAATAATAATAAAATAAATATTTTAATGGTGCTGTTTATTTTTCTCTTCATTTAACGAGCGACAAGTAAGGATGATGAAACAGGGGCAAAGTCGGTAAAAAACTTATGAAGGACCAACAAACAAAACGTTCTTAATCGACATGCTAATAAAAATAGTATAAACCCATGAGAACTGATTTTAAAAAAATTTACATGATTTTTTCCATCAAATGCTAGAATTTAAGATATTTGAGCAAAATCATTACACCACCTTGCCAATGAGCTACATGTCAGAAGTTAGAATTTATGATATTGTTTTACATATATTTGTTTCATGATGTGATGGTTTCACATGTATTTGTTACATCATGTGGAACTTTTTTACGTATATTTTTCGTTTCACTAAGTGAAAAAAAAGTTTCACGTGTAATTTTTTCATAAGGTGAACACAAACATGTGTGAAACTAATACCTTATATTACAGTTTTGATGAAAGAAATCACTAAAAAAAATACTTTTATATCAGTTCTTATGTGTTTGTAACCTTTTTATGGTTATCATTTGATTATCTTACTAAGAAATGTTTATTTGTTGATTAAATATTTTGTTTCCCCAAACACGTAATTAAAATATTTTAAAAATCCTTGTAAATTGAAATTGATACCATCAACTTAATAATTATTATAATCAATTTATTAACCTTAATATCCAATCTGTTATGCGAGTTAATTAACCTTAGAATGACCACGTGCTTTGCAGGTAGATTGGAGTCATCACACTTGAACCTCCATGACCACAAGAAGATTTCTATTTCTCATTGGATTTAAACTCGCGACCTTAATAATCATTAAGAATACATATTATTAAATATAAAAAAATATATCAAAGCTTGAAAAGGGTAAAATTGGATTGGAAGTGAGATTTTGTCCCAACTTCGATGGGATGAAACATGAGAAAACTCGAATCCCAAAAGCCTGAAGAGAAAAACATTAAAAATTAAATTAAACCTTTTTTTTAATTTCTTGAAATTCGATTTTTAATTTCCAAAATTCAAAATTTAGTATAAAAAATGTCTCATCAACATAATAAACAACTAAATTCCAGTCTATAAATTAATAATAGTTTTTTTTTATTAACCTCGATATCCAACCAGTTATGCGAGCTAACTAATCTCATGACGACTACTTGCTTTGCAGATAGTCCAAAGTCACCGTATTTGAACCTCCATGGCTACAAGAGAATTTTTATTTCTTATTGGATTTGAACATGTGACCTCTTGATACTTTTGACATTTGGAGTCAAGCTCAAACCAATCAAACACCACATTTGTGGTCTAAATTAATAATAGTTATCATCATATTCAAAATTAACAATCATTTCACTCAAAAACTTGCTAAAAATAAAAATCAATTAATTTAATTAAAAACAAATAAATCATATATTATATTTTGTGTGATATAAAACCTATAATATAACCAAAGAGAATTCGGTCTAATGATATTGTAGCTTTTTAAAAAGTCAGAGGTTTAAACCTAATAAAAAAATGAGAATAGTGTGTCAGTTTATTTATTGCATTTAAAAACCTATAATGGTTATATATATATAATATTTGATTAAGTTCGAGCCTCGAGGCATGAGTTGGTGGGGACTGAAGTCTACGTACATGCACATGGATTCAAGCCCATATGCAGCCCCACCACAGTAAAATTCAGCTCATTTACCGGAAATTAAATAAATAAATAAAAGAAACCCATTTTATATATCCTGATAAAAATAGTAATAAATTAAAAAAACAAATAAAATTTAACCATGGCTTTTCTTATCACACACTCACTCTGAGAAATAGCAGTGTGGAGATTGGACTTTTCGTTGAAAACTCAACCCCCATGTGTTTTCATTGTTAAAATATTCACTCTGACGCATCTCCTCACCATTCTTGAGCAATATCATATCCAAATTGCAACAGTTTCCCCTTTTTTTAACCATGGCTATTAACCCATAACTAGCACCACTATATAAAGGGCAAAACCCCATATCGTTTTTCTAGTGAAAGGAGATTTGAAACACAGACAGAAAATGGGGGAGCAAGTGGAAGAGCTGAACCAGCACAGACAGCTTTCCACAGGAAAGAAAGGTGGTTTAGTCACCATGCCCTTCATCATAGGTATTCTTGAACCTTTAACAACATGGGTTTCTTGAATCTTGAAACCTTTTGCATTTTTCACAACATGGGTTTCTTGAATCTTGAAGTTCTGGTGTTTGATTTGATCTGAGTTTGCTGTTGTTTTTTGATTTTGGGGTTTTGGGTGTTTTCTTGAATCTTGAATCTCTTTTTTGCAGCAAATGAGGCATTTGAGAAGGTGGCTAGCTATGGTTTGGTGCCCAATATGATTCTTTATCTGATTAGTGATTACAAGATTGGTGTGGCTAAAGGCACCAACATCCTCTTTCTCTGGACTGCAGCTTCCAATTTTGCTCCTGTTTTGGGTGCATTTCTTTCAGATTCATACTTGGGTCGATTTCTCACCATTGGTTTGGGTTCCTTATTCTCCCTTTTGGTAACATTTTCAACTCCATTTTCTGCTTCTAAATCTGCTTTTCTTGATAACAAGAATACAAAATGGCATCAGTCATATTGGGTTGAATTCACTGTAGAATTAAATCTTGCATTTATAAGTGAAATCCTACGTTGTTTCTTTTTTATCTTTGTACAGTATTTTCTGACGTTGACCATATTAACTTACAAAAAGAATTTAGCCCAAGAGGGCAGGCACTTAATTAGGTCACAGACATCCAGTGAAAACATCATAGTGGTTCTGCAACTTCTGCCATTGATGGTCCACTTGACCTACATCATTAATCTTGATAGAAACCCCTTTCTTTTAAAACTCTGTTTTTAAGGTTCTTGCTTAGTTAGGGAGGTTCGTAAAAACCCAATAACCTTTCGTCTGGACTGTATGTATGTGTACAAGTATTTGAAGCGGTTTCTTAGTTTTTATGTCCAGATGAACGGTTACCAAGTCGATGTAAAAGAATGTCCCATTCAATAGAAAATTATTTAATTTAAAATAATATATTTCTCGCCATTATGAGTTTAGGGCTAGAAACTTGAGGATCAGGTAAAATGTGAATTTGATAAGGTAGTTTCTAATAATTCATGAAATTGATTAGACTATTCCCACAATTGTAAGTGTTCCTCAGTTTTTTTTGCGGTTTTCCCGTGAACCTGGCTCTTTGTCTAATAATCATTAAAAACATCATTTACATTAGCTCTAAATTGATTAAAGATTGTAATCATGGATCATATAATGCTAATTATCCTGTTTATTATTGTGATTATAGGGTATGTTTCTGCTATGGTTAACAACAATGGTTCCAAATCTAAAGCCACCTGCTTGCAATCAATTAACTGAAACCTGCAAACAAGCCACACATTCTCAATATGCTTTCTTGATCTTTGCCTTCATATTCATTTCAATGGGATCAGGGGGTGTAAGACCATGTTCTTTAGCATTTGGTGCTGAACAAATAGACAATAAAAACAATCCCAATAATGAGAGGGCATTAGAGAGCTTTTTTGGATGGTATTATGCTGCTGCTGCGACTGCGGTTTTGATTGCGTTTACGGGTATCGTTTATATTCAAGATCATGCCGGTTGGAAGGTGGGTTTTGGGGTTCCTGCGATTCTTATGTTGTTATCTGCACTTTTGTTCTTTGCTGCTTCCACTCTGTATGTGAAGATGAAAGTTAAAAAGAGCTTGTTCACTAGCTTCATACAAGTGATTGTGGTTGCTTATAAGAACCGAAAACTCCCATCTCAGCCTCCGAATGCTGATGCGTGGAATCATCATAAAGATTCACCCGATGCCGTGCCCACCAAAAAATTAAGGTATATCATCGTTTACTACAACAAAATCGGCTTTATAGGACGCCAAATGTGTCTAAATGTTCTAATTGTTTGGTCCTATATTAGGACATTTAGGCTTGTTTGGTTGGTTTTTCGTTAAGTCCCGTGTGGATAAAAGTTGTCTGTGTAGATTAATTTGTCTGTATAGATTGAGAAGGTTTTTGTTTTGAGGGTTTTTTCCCTAGATGGAAGGATAATTTTTTGACTTTATGCAGAAAGCTCCCTCCTAAAAGCTTATTGAATAAGTCACTTTCTATATCATTAAGCCACTTTCAAAAAATCCTTTTTGGCTGATTGAATAAGTTGAGTCCCAAAGTCCCATTAAGCTCATCAAGCTGCTAACAAACAAATGTCTTAATAGACAGCTTTATAGGTTCAAACAACTGTTTCGCCTTATAAAACAGTCTATTAAGACATTTAGACATATTTCGCTAAAGCTGGTTTTGTTGTAATGGTTCTTTTGGTTGTGGTCACTTTGAGTCCCATATGGATTACAATTGTACAAGTTTGGCTAAAGATGTGAGATTTATATGTAGGTTCTTGAACAAAGCTTGCATCATTCAGAACCCGAAAGACTTGACCGCGGATGGAGTTGCTTCCGATCCGTGGAGTCTATGCACGGTTGAGCAAATCGAAGAACTGAAATCACTGATCCGGGTTCTGCCATTATGGTCTTCGGGAATCATGATGTCGATAAACGTGAGCCAATCTTCTTTTCCTGTAATCCAAGCTTCCACCATGGATAGACACCTTGGATCGAGCTTCCAGATTCCGGCAGGCTCCTTCGCTTTCTTCACGATCGCGGTATTAGCACTTTGGGTCGTGCTTTATGATCGTGTTATCCTCCCATTCGCATCAAAACTCCGAGGAAAACCAGTCCATCTTGGCGTCAAATTAAGAATGGGTATCGGTCTAGTTTTCTCCTCCATGGCCATGGTGGTTTCCGCCATTGTTGAACATGCTCGAAGAAAGAAAGCAATCGAACAAGGGCTGTTCAACAGCCCTCAAACCGTTGTCGCCATGTCAGCAATGTGGTTGGTCCCACAATACTGCCTCCATGGATTAGCAGAAGCTTTTAGTGCAATCGGGCAGAACGAATTCTACTATTCGGAGTTCCCGAAAAGCATGTCGAGCATTGCTGCTTCTCTTTTCTTGTTAGGAATGGCTGTGGCTAACTTGTTGGCTAGCCTGATCCTTAGCACGATCGAAAAGCTCACGAAAGATGGTCGTAAAGAAGGGTGGATCGCCACCAATATCAACCAAGGCCGCTACGATAGTTACTATTGGGTTCTAGCCATAATGAGCTTCGCGAACCTTTTGTACTTCGTGGCTTGCAGTTGGGCTTACGGCCCTTGTGCTGACGAATTGGTGAAACAGGAGACGAAAAGTAGTAAAGACTCGACCGAGGAGTTGCAACGAGCGAGATCCGTAGCAGACGAAAGGCAAAGCCTGTTTTCTAGCTTGCCATCGTGATCGGTTTTCAAGAAAATCTTGGAAATATAAGGTGTTTTTCAAGAACCCTAATGAAAGATTGAAGGGGAAAAAAAAAAGGGGGTGTCGGTGAATCACGAAAGCGATCCCAATGGATCGATTTCGGAATGGGGAATGTTGTTTAGGTTGTGTTTGGTTTGATGTTTGATGATGATAGAAAGGTGGGAAGACAAGTTGTTTGTGGTGTCCATAGAACGGGTTTCGTCGGGTAGTTTTTGTATTACGGATGTCGTAATCGGTCGGATCGATCGAACTCGGAAATATACTTGTAAACATAAATATTAAGTGTGTTTTTAAGGTTTTTGTTTGAAGTTGCAAATAGGGTTGTGTTGGAATTGTATGAATTAATTAATTGTGTTGTAAATGAAAAAGTAATGGATTCAGAAACCATTTGAATTGTGTCGTACTGATTAAATTTTTAGTGGATGTAGTGGAAAATTTGTTGTTAAAACCAGATTGTTTATAGTCAATCCAGGTGTTGTCAAAACCCTTGTAATCATAAATGGTTCAACTGCGATGATTCCAGAATAGATTAGTCAGTACGCTGTATTTGTAAGCTAGTCTGAAAACCCACGGTTATAAAAAAACCTAAGGAGTTGTTTGTTTACCTCTTAATAGTTCATTAAGAGGCAACATCTGAATCGTTAAAAGGTGAATCTTGTTTGGCAAAAAAAAGTCTGCCTCTTAATGATTCTATTACCTCTGAATGATTTTGTATCTTGGAACTCCCTTAACCATCAAGAGTCTTGATTTCATTGTATACAATTACCAAACAATTATATTTCATTTTGCATTATATCATGAGAGTCTCTTAATCATTCTAACCACTTAATCATTTTACACCAAACTATTTAATAATTACCAAAAAAGGTTAAATATAAAATGGACAAAAACAAGAACAATAATCCATATGATGTCCCCAAGATATGTGGGTGTGACAGAGGGGCATTCCTTTATTTGTAAAAGACAGATCATCAAGCTAAAATTGTTCCCTTAAATTCAGGGGGTGGTTCAAAAACTTGGGGGTTTGGCCCTACTTATCATTTCTTTTTTCAAAAGGAATTTTGATGCCGAACTATTTTACAGTTATTAAATAGTTTGATGTAGAATGATTAAGTGGTCAGAATGATTAAAAGACTTTCATGATATAGCATAAAATGAAATATAATTGTTTACGATGAAATTATGGTGCTGAATAGTTGTTATATGAGATTCTTATTTTCTTGTATTACCAGCCGCCTCACATGAAACCTGTCTCCAATAACATTAATATAAGGAGGTATTTTTTGACTCACTCAACGGTTGAGGCTAAAAAGGACGGCTGTATTTACATAATAACGTATTAATTGAAGTCTTTTTCATTATTACTCAAAGTAATAAATAAAAAGAAACAATGTTTAATGATTAAAAGAATAAACTTATAAATAATTAAATATATATAATAATTAGAGAACATGTGATTATCCAAGTGATGATTAAAATAGTAAGTAGAAGCTAGAATTCCTCTTAAGCCATGATAATAATTCCTCAATATTATAATCCAACTTCTTTTGTTTTTTTTTTAATTGGATAAGAATTATGGTTATGTATACTGGTTTTACGATCATCATAAAGACAGCCAGACGGGTGGTGCTCGGATTCAAATCGGAGATCTCGCTTTAACAGATGATTGTCAACCTCCTTATTGTTAAGACACTTGGGGTAGGGACGGACCTATAGTTGGACATATGGTGGCACGTGCCTCTGTATTATTCATCTGCTGAAAGTAAAAAAAAATTAGATTCATGAAAGGTGCAACTGTATTAATTTGTTGTGTGTCACATTATGTATTTGAAACTACAATGAAAACAAGTTTCATTTGGTAGGGTTGGTTTGCAAGACTTTTATTCCACCTAGACCTAAATTCGAATCGTGTTAGTGTTATTTTCTTAGTCAAATGGTGTCAATGTTTGAGAAAAAAAATTCCCTGTAGTTTTTTTTTTCTTATAGTCAAATGGTGTCACCGTTTGAAAAAATTTATGGGTTCATCCCTGACTTAGGATGCGTTTGGTATCTAGACAAGATACAACATAGCGGAACACAATAAAACATAACATGATCATACGTGACATAGCAGAACAGGACAAAACATAACAAATGACATGACTAATAAAATGACCAATTTACCCTATCTTTTCTATATTTTGATTAATTTATGTGTTTTATTAAGTTATAGTAAAATAAATATTTTTTATAACAAAATATATTATTAGAAAGTTTTCATCATGACAATTAAAATGACACAAAAAATATGAACTTCATATAATTCCAGTTTACTATTAATATTTAATAAATTACATATAAGTTTAACAAATATAGAAACTGTATAAAATAATATTTTGATGACAGTAAAGTGAAAATCTACAAAAAACCATAAAATACAATAAATAAAATTTAAAGAATTGATAAAATGTAAAGAAAGAATTTGATGTTTTCAAATATAATTAGGTTTTACTTTGAAAATATATTAATAAAATATAAGTTTGTTTCACCTTGTTTCATGGGATGGGGATCAAACATGCATGTTCCATTTTATTCTTATGTTCCTGTCTATTTCATATAAAGATCATATCAAATGTAAAACAGTGATCCCTGTTCTGTTCTCGAAACTTACCATATTATCAATTTTTAAATAACGAGGAATTACAAGAATCATATAAATCAAAGCCAACATTACCATAATAAGCACATCATCGTTAACTTCTAACAACTCGAAAGGAAATTATATGTAGAGTTTTCTGACAGCGGTATCCCTAACAGGAATACCGACAGCCGAGAAAATAAAATCTCCGTTACCATCGACGAGAGCATGCAGTTTACCGTTTAACATAGATTACACACAAACGGTATGTTGCATCTTTCGTCGATGATAAAATCGGTTTATTGTTCTTCAGCAGCCAGTTTCATCTTCAGCTCCTTTTTGTTCACCTAAAAGTTACACACAAAATGATTCATTAGGTTTTGGTTGTAGAAGAACATTAAGCAACCAAAGGGCCTTTGGCCTAGCAGGATCTGAGCCTTTGGCCTCCTAGGAAATCTGGGGTTCAAACCTCAGCAAAGACGAAAAGGGTGTGTGAGTTCATTTGTTACATTTTCCGTAAGTAGATGTGCAAATGAATAAGATCATAACGGTTACAAATACGGTATTTTACCTTTCCCATGGCATTACGAGGGAGCGAGTCCCATAAAAATAATCGGGTTGGTATCTGGAGATGGTAACACAAGATCAGTAACGGGTAATTTTTTGATAATAATTAGAAATAAATTTCATCTAAGATGTGAAATATATGTATAAATTTCTGTAACATATATAGACTACAGACGGTTAGCTTCTAGTTGTATGTTAATGCTTTTTCTTAATCAACTTTGCAAATCATGTCTTTTTGTGACACTTTTCACAAGTTGAGGTTTTCACAGAAACAACTGTTTTATTCTTTGGGATAGATGTCAGATCTGCATACCGCACTCCACCTCCAAAAGGGATATAACGGGTTCGTTTGGTTTTGGACTACAGATAGTCGGTGAGACTATATAATTATCAACTTGATAAAGGGGGACCCTGGTGCACTAAAACGACTCAACTTTGTTACGGTTGGAGATAAGTATTTATGATGTCTTTACTTTACGCTTTGCAAAGGGACCCGACCTTTTAGTCACATAGGATTTATGTTACTATTTGATCCAAGGTTTGTTCTTGGGGAAAAACATTAAATTAAATTGCTGATAATATGCAAAAAAAGACTGCGAGGAAAGCATACTACATGCTCACTTCAGAATGTGAAAATTATAGCATCATTGGTCAACTTCGGGGCTGTTTGGTTGATTTTTCATTAAGTTCTGTATGGATAAAGCTGTCTGTGTGGATTAATTTGTCTGTGTAGATTGAAAAAGTTTTTGTTTGGAAGGGCTTTTTAACAGACATGAAAAGCATGTTTTTAATTGGGAGGGGCATGTTTGTAAAAAACTTGGTTTTGTGCATAAAGCTCCCCCTAGAAGCTTACTGAATAAGCCACTTTCTATATCATTAAGCCACTACCAAACAGTCATGCATAACTAACCAATTGTCCTAAGAGTTTCGGGAGGGGTCTAGATAGGTGAGGGGCCAAAGAATTATGGATTGCCTTAGTGTTGAGTCCCTAAAGTAGTAGACCTTGATTCTATGTGGAACCTCATATTAACTCCAAAAGAGGCCTTGAGAAAGAGATTCTAACACACACACACACGCACACACACACATATACATATACATATACATATACATATACATATACATATACATATACATATATATATATATATATATATCAAGGAGAAACGATCACAGTTTAGTTGATTTGGGACTCTAACAGTAATAAAGAAGTTAAAAGAAAATAGTATTTATGGGAAGGTGTCCATGCAATTTTGACATGAAAAGCAACAATGTATGAAAAAGATTATGGTGCTGTACCTTGTATGGTGCAAGTTTTTCTTTAGCCCATGTTCGGAGTTCATCCAAACTTATAGCAGGGTTCAAATCTTTCTCACGAACCTTCTTTATCTCCATATCTGGCACAATTATTGCAGTGACGGCTTCTCCATAAGTATTGTCCGGTAACCCCAAGACACAACATTCTGAAACAGCTGGATGCTGTGCAAGGAGGGAGCGCATTAGATTATATGTGTGTGTGTGTATGCAAGTCCGATTTTATCACTATTAGGGAGGTGCGTCTAAGGTGGAGTTATTTAGCTAAATGGCCTCCTGATAAATGTTCCTTTAAAATCCATGACCTTCTGATAGGTTTTAGGCATTTTTGTATATGGAAGAGGCATACCTCTGTTAAGCAAAGGCATTTTCAAAACTGTCAAAACATCATGGATTTAAAAAGAACCTGTCAAAACGTCATGGATTTAAAGAGAATCTGTCAAAAGGTCATTTAACCAAAAGACCCATCTAAGGTGTGCCTTGGATATAGGTCTCGGAAACCATGGAATGCATGATCAGAAGAGATATTAGATGGAGAAGGGAACTTACTTCCAAAAGAATCGCTTCTATTTCCAATGCTGACAACTTGTATCCACCGACCTTCATTATATCAGCATTAGTACCTGATTGGAGGACATAGGAGTGTCACAATACTTCGACGGGAGAAGAAAATCAAAACCATAGATGTGTGAGAACAGTGGATGAATCTTACGTCCCAAAATTACATAATATCCATCTTCATCCACTTTAACGGCATCACCAGTTTTGAAAAAGCCACCCTCTATAAATGACTCCTTGGTTACCTATTAGGTACACACATGCAGCATAGTGAGAAACATAAAAAGCGCATTTTGAAGTTTGTAAGCATTAATTCGTATAAATAAGTTGAACTGATAACTTGGTAATATATTAGCATAGGTAATAGACATGAGCATCAAGAAGAACCAAAACAAAACGTAAAATAGCCCGAAGCTGTAGATTGAATTATAATCTTTGATCCTTGAAGGGATAATGTAGCCTCCAAGGCCAACCGTACCAAATATTGTCTGATTTGTCCATACGTGGACTCACGGTTTTTAAACACGTTTGATAGAGGAGGTATCCAGTCCCTTATAAGGCAACCTTAGTTCCTGTCCCCAACAGATGTGGGATCTGATAGATAATTATTAAAAGGACAAAGAGTACTATTAACATAATTGTCGATTTGGCAAACATTTGCAGCCAACATGTTCTGTGTGAGATTTCGCGTAAAACTAACTCGACGGCTTACCTCAGGGCGTTTCCAGTATTCCTTAAACAATGAAGGGCTTTTGATGCAAAGCTCACCAACCCCCTCACCACCATCATCTTCAGCAAGAATTTTGACCTATTACCAACAACAAAATGTAGTCAAGTTCTCTGTAACACATTATGCTAGTGATGATCGATATCCTACCTTCTAATATTACAAGTTTTGTCTACTTTCTTAATTTAAAGAATGAATCCCAAAGTCCCAGATTTTTGCCAATCTAGGAGAAGATTATACACCATAAACACCAGAGGAAAGTTCCATTAGGGGGAACCGCCAACAGCACGCCACGTGTCCCTCTTCAGGATGAATATTCATCACAAATAACAAGTTCATGATGAATATGGACATGTTATTCATCATGAACCACACATTCATGATGAATATGTTACAACATTCATAACGAATAACATATCCATATTCCTGATGGATATGACTCGTGTCTTGTTGTGGGCGGTTCCTGGGTTCCTAATCAATTTTAGGTTCCTAAAGGAACCTGCCCCCAAATCAAGGTCAACATACAAGGTTTATTCACTACCAAACCTGTGTGAAGCTTTTTTCAAACATTAATCTATCTTGCGTGAGCATGCTTATAGTGCTCAAAGAAGCCTGTTCTTAAGTCGAGTTTTTCGAGATTGAAAACTTTGCTAACCTGCACACCTGGAAAGGGTTTGCCTACAGTGCCTCCTTTCCGTATTCCTTTTAATGGATTTGAAATTGCCATGACAAACTATAAGATCAACGAGACATAATCATTAGAAAGATGAACGTCAAGTAACCATCTATTGATGAATCTCTTTTCGGCTAGAATGAAATCTGAAATGACTTGTAAGGATACCTCTGTCATGCCATATCTTTCCAATAGTCGATGTCCTGTAATTTCCTCCCACTGTTGCATGACGGGCAGGGGTAGAGCTGATGATCCACACATCTGATGCAACAAGATACATCTTGATTTTAATGTTTCGTTTTATAATTTGTGTCTATCGATGTTATAATGCGATTTTATGTGGTTTTGAGAAAAATAAAATGTTTTTTATTTTTTAATGAAATATAAATTTGAAGATATTATAAAATATTGAAAAAAATAAGCGATATTAGTATTAAA